TGGAGGAGTGTGCGGTGTCTGGCGGGGGTCACGGCTGTGGGGCGGACACCCCTTGGGGCCTTCCTGAGGGCCCCCCTCCCCCCCAGTTCTGTCATGGTGGGAGGCTGTAACATCAACCCCTGTCGGGAGCAGGGAGGTTTTGGGTGGCCGTACCCTTGTTTTGACGTGACTTTCTGGCACTGCTGCTTTCTGTACCCGCTCCCTCCTCTGCTTTTTGTGATACTTCATGTCTGTGGTGAAAAGTGCCAGGCTGGGAGCGCCGTGGCCTGGTACAGGAGGGTCCGCAGCCCTGCCCGCTTCCCACAGGCTGCGCTGCCAACAGACTTCAGTCTCCACAGCCCTCCCTTAGTCTCTGCTGGGACTATTAGCAAAACAGCCAATTGTCAGATGTTTCAGGTTCTTTCGGTGGCGTGGATGGTTGCCTGTAGGAAACCACCGAAGCCATTGAACTGCCAGCTGAATGAGAGTCAAGTGGTGACTTAAAACACTGTCGCCAAACTCCTGTACCAGTCGTTTGCCCGTGTTTACTTGAGAATAACTTTCTTTGTGCTGTTTTCTGTTTGGAGCAGGCAGCTGCACAGAAAGCTGGCTATGAGCGTAGCTAGTTTTTAGCTTTCACTGAATTACAGTGGAATGAAAGAGGGCGCGCATCTGCCTTGTTCAAAACAAATGTATTTTGTGGAGGATCAGTTACATTAGGATATTTCTATTAAATAATTGTTCTCCATGGTTATTTAGCTTGGTGCGTACACTGCAATCTAGAGCTGCTGTGTGACAGTCGAAACTCAAACTCTACTAGGCGTGTGTATATTAAATACGGTGGCCAATCAGCAGTGCCTGAAACTAAAAGCAATTTGCTTCAACGCTTTGTAGTGTAAATATTCCTGCTATGAACAAAGAGGAGGGTGTGTCATTGTGCTTGTTTCATTTGTACTTCTACGTGTTTCCTCATTTGTGGCCAGTCAATGATCTTGTGTAGATTCTTAAACAGTAGTAGTCTTACTTTGTTGCAGATTTTACATTTGTGCGGTCTTGGGCGTTTTACTGAGCTGGGATGCTCAGAAGCTTGGTGCTATATTAGGAATTTTTATTATGTTCTTTTTAATAGCCGTGCTCTTAAGTGACTTAGTTTTGCTTCTTTTTAACTTCTGTTGTAACTGATTATAACTTTGAAGTGAATTCAACTTGGATGCAGTGTAAAATGAGTATTTAGTAGAACTGCCTTTTAACCAGCTGTTCTTTTGCCCTCTGATTATACAGCAAGGAAACCAATAATTTCAGACTTAATGGTTTGCCAGCCAGCTATCTATAAAACTTGTGCTTCTGAAATCCCTGTATCTATTTTCTTTGAGGGGGCGTAACATTTTGGTTTAAAGAAGAAAGTAAATGACAGTAAAATAATGCTTTGTGGCAGGCAGGCTCTCTTCAGACTATTTTGTCTTCGTGTATGTGTATGTTTAAACAGTGCAGTTGTGTGCTGCTCCTGTGATTTCTGGTTCTTGGGAACAGGGGATATAAATCCTTAATGTTAACTCCTTAGCATCTAACTTAAACAGATACTACAAGAACATACATGCAGATGAGACCTGAATCTTTAACTGTCACTGAAAGGAAAATCTTTTCTTTGGATAAGAGTCATAGTGCATAGAATTATAGTATGCTGTAATTTACTTGCAGTCTGCCTTACCTTAATTATCCTGAAACAGAGTAAAAAACAGGGTAAAAAAGAGACCTGGCACTAGGTGTGGAAACAGATAATTGAATGTATTATTAGTGTGCTTGAATTTGAAGTTGTAAAGAGCTTTTCTCGCTTCAGGTATACCTTTCAAATCGAAGTTAAAATGCTGATAGTTTCACAACTACTTAAGGTGAATACCACAAAGGGCTAGCAGATGTGTGTTAGAGGAGGAAATACGGGATGGAATACAAGGGTTAGCTCTTCAGGAAAAGACAAGGGTCAAAGGTGTATGTATGTGGGGTTTTTTATAGTCTTTTTAATTCCAAGGGAAAGCCTAAAGGACATCAGATACTATTTTGAATAAAAAGGCATTTTTCCCAAGACG